AAGGAGTCACTAATGGTAGGAAAATAGACCACTTTTTCTTTAGATCTCGGTTGAATAGGTCCAATACCGGCGCAAAACTGGTAGTCATCCATATATCACGGATGTCTCATCAGAACCGCAGTCCATCTAATTCCCGTCTGGAATAATGGCTCTAACTTCTATACTTGCCCGATGGGCAGCTCCAGGATTTGCCGTAGGATCGTTGAAAGCCCCATGTGCGACGCACTTCGCTACGCCATCAGCACTATCATCCAGCTTAAACAAAATCACCTCATCCATCAACATGCCTTTCTGATAGAACCAGCGATGCGCAGGGCTGTACTGAATGTCATAACCTTCATTGCAGCAGCGAGGAAAGATGACATCAGTGCTGATATATTCTTTTTTGGTGATGGTTCGGTAATCGCATAGCGCTAGGGGACAGTCCTGATGGGTGATGGGGGGGACGGAGCGCCAAATGCTGTGAAGCGTTTGGTTAACAAGGGGCATATTTTACTTTTCAAGGTCTAGGGAGATGCGGGCATCTACATACTTTACAAATCGATAGCGCTTGCTCAAGACATCATCTACGTTATTGGAAAGTGCAGTGCCATTCTCAACTTGCAGGACGCTTCCGTTGCATTGCAGTGAGCCAGAAAGAAGGGGGTTTTCCAAGGGGTTGTCTCCCAGTCGAGGGTCCGCACCACGAAACTATTGGCCGTTAGTATCCAACGAAAAGTAATAACTGCTATTTGAAGCCGCGACGGTATACACCACCAAAGCTCACATTGTATGCATAAATGAACACGCGCTCACACGCAAAACGCTGCAGAAGCCAGCTGTGTAGAAATGGAAGATACCTCTCTTGCACAGTATCATCGGACCAACTGTCCATCTTAAATGGCAAGTTTTGAAATTCAAAACCTGATGCGTCGAGAGTAAACAACTCCTCGTTTCCGCGGACGTTGTAGATATTTACGGGGTAACTCTTGCGATAATGTTGCTTCGTTTCAGGTCTCTCAAAAAGGGAAGACGACTCAGATATGGCTTCTGGCGTTTATAAAGCTCAAGGGGAGCAAGGTAATTGAATTCTTCGACACTAACAACCGGCAGTTGCCTGTCTTGGACCTGTTTATCAAGCTCGGAGCAAAGAACTGTTAGGAAGTCTGCGGCGTGATCCTCGGCCATCTTTAACTCTATCGCTTCTGATTCAGGCGGGTGTATTAGCACTTTCAGTACCAAGACCGGACGAAACCCAATTAGATGAGCACGCGAATAACAAAAGAGTTCAAGTCTCACCATTCTGAGCATCGGCAGCAGGAACGGGATCATCAGGAGGCAGGATGGTGTACGCCTGTTCAGTCTTGGCAGCTTCATTTCTAGTGTAACTGCTCCAAGGACGATTGAAAAAGTTGCTAGGGTCAAAGCGCCAATTAATAAACTCAGGACTGTCGGTTTTGAGCCAGCGCTGCAAATCATCTTGGTCTTCTGGCGGCCAGACACTCTGCCATGGTCGTTCAAGACCTGGCATATCGGCTGTAGCAGCGGCATCACTGAATGAATACAAATTAAGCACTTCAGCCACTTTAGCTCTTTGACCTGGAGAAAACTGTTCGATCTGTAGCCGTTGGATTTAGCTATAATATTATAGCTATTTAATTATATTTGATGGCTACTGGGTTCGTTGTCCGTTGTCCCAAATCCGAATGCTGGTGACTAAGAAATTCCTCCTCGTCAATCTGACGCATCTCTATGCCCACTCAATTGCCATTGCTTTTCGACTCCTTGATTTACTCATTTCGCTTTTTCTCGTTTTGTGTAGTCAGCACACGTATGCTGACTAGTCGCTGACTATGCTAAGTCGTCCTAGTTGGCACAGCTGGGGATTCAGGGGGAGAACAAATGTCTGCTGCGGTGGGTGGGGGAACTTAGTTGTCGTTGGCCGTCAATTGCTAGGGTTATACTAGATATCTACGGTGTTGTCATCGAGACCCGGACTTAAATATTGTTATTTCATGATTATTGTAAAGGGAAGAGGTCACGCGGAACTCCCGTATTGGATGAAGAAGAACCCATGCTAGCCAACAACAGAGCACGACATTCGGCAGGTTCGGCGGTTTCCACGGCAGAACCATACACAAAAGCATCTTTTAGTTGGAAAGCGGTCTTTGCGAGACAATCACGGCTCAACCTGTTGGAATGTCTCCTGCTCGGCATGCACTCTGTAGCGTTCGATCAGATGTTGCCCGTTTTCATGCATCATCCGCGTCAAAAGGCCGTTCAGACCCAAACGAGCTTGATACACTTCAGTGGTGGTTTTGGCATCAGTTCCAATCGAATCGGACTCCTCCTCATCTTAAACGGAATTTTTGGGATGTTCGTACAGTTTATTATATTCCCACCAGTGGCAAAGCGATTCGGTGTGTTGACATGCATGAAAACTTGCACAGTTCTGTTCCCTGTCATTTATATTGTTTTCCCGTTCACATCTCTCATTGAATCAGACCAGAAGCAACAAATTATTGGACTGCTCCTCATTGCTTGCAAATGCTGCATGACTGTTTTTGCCTTTCCCTGTAACGCCATTCTGCTTACCAACTCATCTGCCAGTGCCGGAACACTTGGTACCCTGAATGGAGTTGCGACGAGCGTTGCTGAAATTGGCCGCACAATTGGACCTACTATGGGTGGCTTGATGTTCAACGTTGGTGTCGAAGCTGGGCTCATTGTCTTGCCATGGTGGGTCATGGCAGCTATTGCTTTGGCTGCGGCCCTGCCTGTATTGTGGATGGAAGATAGACCTACACCCACAGAACTTGCGCCACAGAGCCAAGAACATGCGAATGCAGTAGAAGACTGTGAGGTCGGTGCCTCACGTCGGAGGCAATAGAAATATAGCAGGGCTGTTACTATATCAGAACGGCATGAGATGCAAAAGAGTCAGTAACCAGTCGACGATCGGATGAGCAACAAAATTAAGGCATCGCAGTCAGTTAGCGAGTGTTGCTCGTCGAGAGAATCTTCGTTCGTCAACACATGAAGACATCCTCATGGACTGCAAGAATGTGGGAGAATTAGTATATCTTCGTCCACAGCTATAGACAAAATGATAGATTGACACATTAACACAGACTGACACAAAACTTTTCCTTTGTCTCGTATGACACGTAGCGAACGCGGACTCTGAACCTGCGGCTCCTATCGTCCTATTGCCCAGAAGGGATTTATGTAACTAGCTTACTTAGTGGACGTTAATAATAAAACAAACAAACAAACTAGACAAAATGATGTGTAGACAGAGGAGTAGAGGTTCCCAATGTGCTAGGTATCATTCGTCTTCTTCCGCCCCTGAGAAACAAGCCGCGGCCCAAAGTCCCCTGAGAAGAATCAACACGCCACAACAGGTCAAGCATCATCCAGGTTACAAACATGCAGAGGCTTCGATCAATGTTGTTGGGGTAAATGGTTTGAGTCAAGATAATGTTTTTTAAAATTCTCACGCTGAACCAGAACAACTTGTAGAGCACCTATCTATTGCCTTGACTCTATTTTCCGAGTATTCGCTTCTCAGCCGCCCTCAAAATAATATATATACTACATGTGAACGCAGCCGCAAGGAACTCTCCGACATCGCCTCCCGGACTACCGAATTTTGCAGCTATAGGCCCAACATACCACATTTGATTCATTCCCACCACTCCTCCAGCCAAATACCCCGCCAGCAAGCTTACCACTGCACCAATGCCCATGGACAACTGTCTGGGTTGATCCCAAGCATCGATATCATAGCCTGAACCACGTGTCTTCTACCAGCAGGATTATCGTAAAGCACACAGTCCAGTATCCCAGAAGGCTAACAAAATTCTGAACAACGGCAGCCAAGCTGTCTTTGCCGGCCATGGCGAGAACCGCGGAGACAATTGCCACGAACAGCGGCCACAAAAGCCTTGGAATGGCATGGAAGTAATCACCAAGAGCTGTATAGATAGGCCGCTGGAGTAGCAGCTGACGATGTTGTTTCCGAGTACGGAGAACATGAGTATCACCATACTGAACTTTGAGAAGCCGATAGGATGATACACAGTTTGAAGTAGACCCCCAGGCCCGTGTTTTGAGAAGGCTTCGCTATAAATGCTGTCCGAAGAGTTGAAGGCAAGTTCACCTACGCACGACCGGATTACGGTTGTGAAGATGGTTGGAATGCCAATTCCAAACACAGTAAGTAAGAACACCTTCCAGGTAGGCGTATTAGATGAGTAATTGCAGTAATAGTCTGCGACTATCGGGGACCAGCCAGATGCGCTCGAGAAGTTGATGGCAATAAAAGATAAAAACGGACCTGCAATTCCATCTTGAGCCATCGAAACGCTTGATGAAGACGAATTCAGTCGTGGCACTGTCTGTGCGAGTAGTATTGATAAAAAGACGAAGATCCAGACCCAAGAGAACTTTTCAAACCTGTGAATAAAGGTGAAGCCAAAAACAGAAATCGTGTAAGACAAAACCTGAATGATAATTACTCCAACGTCAACCGTCAATTTATAGTCAGACACCGCACTCAAAAGCTGTCCGCATACAACTAAATTGACAACGGAAAACCCAATTGAAGCTGTTACATTCAGCAGATTTTGGCCCCCCGAAATCCAAAAGAATATCTAGCAGTGGCCACAGCGCGAAGACCAAGCTGCCAAGCGAAAATAAAAACCAATCTTGCGTTAGTAGGCTACATCGATAATTAAACCACGAATTTAACTCATTTAGAAGTCAAAAGCTCACCTTTGGACCCAAGGTTCCTGTAAACGAAGGACACAGCGCGCCTAGAAAACAACCAATCACTGTACCGGCTACTGAGAGAGGTAAAGATAGTCCGAACAGAGGACCCAAGAGTCCGATCTGCAACGTTCCAACATGCATGGTCATCGACCACCACATAAAGAACGTATTCAGTATGGATGGTGGTGTTCTTTTCTCTTCCGGGATTTGATCTACGCCCTGTGTTTCAATGCCAACCCGTCTATCAAGATTCTTTTCGAACTGGTGCAAACGTCTTAGCAGTCTATTTTGCCCGATGAGTGACTTGGCAAGAGATTCATCTTGCTGTATAATGATTGGAGAGAGAGCTGTTTCTATGGTGATACTGTCGCCGGGGCGGTGAGCTTGTTTTTTTGCATTTGTGGACGAGTCCTGCGACAACATGGCTGCCATGGCGTTGACGTCACGTTTGAGAAAGGGCATGAGGAACCATCACATCAATGCTGTTTTTCAGCATCTATGAGTAAACTTTGTTGCAGAATTCTTCTGCTAAAACTGGACGTAGCGCCAATTTCTGGCAGGTTGAAGAACCGTAGGCTGACATTCCGATTATGCTGTCATGCTAACTAGGAATCTAACTATGTTTCCTATGGATAGCTGCAAATTTGGACATGCTGACTGTCACTATCTCTTATACAGTTGGCCATTATCCCTAAATGTCGACTAAAAAAGAAGTCATGCAATACCGCAAAACCGCAGACACGCATGGGATTGCTTGCATGATATTACGACTCCTTGCGTCTCATCCATCGTAACGAAATTTGCTACTAATACTCCCAAGCTCAAGTAACTCACCTCAGGTCGTAAAATAGCGAGCATTAAGCTCGGAAAAGATCACAGACATACTAGATATGAAGGTCTACTCTCTATCTAAAGCCTGTCGGTTTCTCTCGAAACGGCTGCTTCCCAGCCGGCATTTCAGAAGGGCATCATCCTCCAGCCTGAGCAAGACAAGAGAATAGTAAATTGCCTTTCTTATCTGCCAGAATCAATGACAACACGTTTAACTGACTATTTCCTACAGTTTTGTGATCGTTCAAAACAAACCTAATGTAGACATACAACAATCTGCCCTTCTACCAGGGCTTCCTGACGATTCTCGATTTACTTTCACTGGTTCCATGTTTGATGCTAGTCCTGGTCAGGATAATTGTCGCAAGATAATTGGTACTTGTCTTGCATGCACCTCCGAGAACGAAAACGAGGTCTTGAAACCCATTCGAGAGCATCCTTATAATCGAAAGGTGTCTCGAATATTCTACTTAACAGCTACTGTATCCCTTGTGTCTATCTAACACGTTTATAGGGCATCTGGGATGTAGATACAGTGGAATTGTGGCCTCTGGAAATTGTTTTGACTAGCAAACTGCAGAAGAAGAAGCCTGGCGATACAATATGAGTAATTAGAAGCTTGTATCATAGATCCTGAGCTAGGTCCGGCTAAATGTGGATTGATTAAGCGTGTAATTATGTCTTTGACCCGTATCTTTCAAGGTTTATTTGGCATTGTGGATAGTTCAAGTGTCTCAATCACTAGCTGACGAATTAGACGGATAATGCTGCTTTTGCAAATCGAAGATGCGTCTCAAACTGAATGAATTGTGCCTTTTCCAAGTCCCAGATCCCTTCTTGAATATACGGGTAAGCGGCCAGAAAAAAGCTGTCAAGATCTGCCGTAAGGGTCGATTAGCAGACCTGACAGATTCCACGGCGGCAATGGCGCCACCAGGCGAGTAAAGGTTAAGGTGGTACTCAATTTCACTCATTTCTATTCTCTGCCTGCGGAGCTTTACTTGAGTATCTCGTCTGCCAACCAACTCCAGCGACCCATCATCTGCATACCGCACTAGATCTCCAGTGCGGTACGCTCTATGTAACTTCGCATCTGGGGGGCTGTTTGTCCAGGACGCGGGTTCGATAAAGGCACCCGCTGTTCTGGCCTCATCGTACAAGTAGCATCTGGCTACCGATGGGCCCTGGATGATGACCTCACCGATGGCTCCGATTGGAGCAAGTTGCTTGTAGTTGTCCTGAAGAACGAAACGACCCATAAATGACTGGACTGCGTGTGCTTGCCTATGTTAAGAGGGTCCCTAATACTCGAAGAGAAGTGATTTACTGAAGAAATGACGGAACACTCTGCCGGACCCCAGGCGTTGAAAAGGACAACTTTGTCGGCCCAAGTATTGATGATTTCCAAGTCGGGAGCTTCACCCCATACAGTAAGTGACTCAAGAAGAGGGACATCGACTGGAGAAAGCAGTTTTGCAAGTGTTGGAGTCATGCCAGCCCAATTGACACGGGGATTATTGATGGCACCTTTCAAGTCGTTCATTCTCTGCTCGTCCGATGGGATGCAAATACAGGCTCCGACCATGAGGGTAATCAAGATTTCCAGAAGGATAGCATCGAAGCTGTGAGCTGTGAAGTGTAGGACACGAGACCGCCTCGTCATTCGCAGGATTCGTGATGCGCTGCCGCGGCTGTGCAGTATGCTCTATGCTCCAGTATAATACCCTTTGGAACACCCGTGCTGCCAGAAGTGAAGACTACAAACCCCATACTATTAGGCGTTGCAGGAAATTTATTGTTACAACGGGCAGAAAGTCTGGCGATAGAGTTCTCGTCCACGGTGAATGCTGTAACCGAAGTTTTTTGAAGAGTTTGGGTCATCTCGCGACCACATAGAACGAGAGGAGCTTTAGCGAATTCAATGAGATGCAATAACCGGTTAAGTGGAAATTCTGAATTTAGTCCTACTGGGGCTGTCCCAGCCTTCAGTATTCCCAGAATGGCGACGACAGTCCAGGAGGATTTGGGGAAAAGAAAGGGAACGATTGCCTCTCTTCCAACACCCAACCCTACTAAATGCCAGGACAGACGGCTCGATAAGTCATCTAGTTCATGGTAGGTAAGGCCCCCATCCCAGGAGCATATAGCAATGTCTTATGGCGCTGCTCGAGCCCTGTCTTAGATGACTTCATAGATGCATCTCTCATCCATATGTATCGCACTCGCATTCCACAGTTGAACCCTTTTGCGGTCTGCATCACCCATGATGTTGATATTGGATAGTGTCTCATTCTCATTTTCGATCAAAGCATTGGCTGTCTCAACGAAGCTCTCCCCAAGACTTGTCGCTCTATGAGAGCTCAATAACTTTGACATGGTTGCAAGGCGGGAGAAAACGGAATTGCCAGATGCAGTTTCAAAGATGTAAACCGCGAGTGGAATCTGAACATAGCTTGACCATTTCCCCACCTCCAGAGCCGGATCAACACTATTCGCATCCAACATCTGCACAATAATGGAGTCGTACAGCCCGGTTGTTAACACTGCGGGAGTCACAACTACCATCTCGTCGTCTTCCGGGGTAGTCTTCGTGGATAACCCGTCGCCCGCTGGTTCCCTCAAATATCTCACTTCTAAAGCCTTCAGCAAGCCTGCAAGGTGTTGGTTCGAATCAATCTTACAACGGAACAAGCTTAGCCTTCGGCTAGTTGGTGACAAGCCGACGAAACCTGAGCAAGGTGAAGTGACACCAGCGAAGGCGCTAACGGCAATTGCCCAGGCCAGTTGATATATGGACTCTGCTCTAACATTGTTTCTTGTGCAGTAGTCTTCTATCAAAGCTTTATTAAGTGTACTTTTTATTTCAATCGTTGTCGAGACCTGCTGGTTCGAGGTCGCGCCAGCCTGCTCATAGTTATGAGAACAGATGAGGCATACATCCCAGTCTCGAATGTGTTCTTTTGTCTTGGCAAGAGAATCTGAAAAAGGCATTGCGACTCGAGTAAAAGACAAGCTGCCTGGTCTAAATTTCATAAAGTATGCAAACAACAAAACCAGTGCTCCGCCATGCCACGATGCCTGCCTGACGACTCCTTGATAAACACCATGAGACAAGCTGCTTTTAGACCGGCCTCAATTCTGGCTGGCTTTGAAGGAACCAGCCTCGGCTATCTTGTTCGGAAAGGCAGTGGTGTCGATCTCTGGTCCGCTTCCCAGTGAAGCCAAAAATGTTCGTAGCAGTGCAGGGTTCTGGTCTCTGATGTTTCTCACTCTGGCTCTCGTTCAATGCACCGTTTTCATTATTCAAGGAATTGCCTTTGCATACTGCTCAGAGCGGTTAATTCACCGCGCTCGAAGTCGGGCTCTAGGTGCCATTCTTCACCAAGATATTTCCTTCTTTGATCAGAAAGAGAACACCGCCGGTGCTCTTGCAACTTTCTTGTCGGTAAACGCAACAGCACTGGCCGGCATTAGTGGCGCCACACTCGGCACCATCCTCATTGCGGTGTCAACATTAATATCAGCGATTGCGGTTGGTTGTGCATTTGGCTGGAAACTTGGTTTAGTTTGTTCCTCTCTTATTCCTGTGCTGGTGACCTGTGGCTTCCTAGCGTGCGCTTCACTGGCGATTTTGAGCAGCAGAGAGATCTTTACAACCGGGCATCAGCAGGCTACGCGAGCGAAGCTATCTCGGCCATTCATACTGTTGCCGCTCTGACGCGGGAGAATGACGTTTCCAGACATTTCAAGAAATCTCTCTCGGAATCGGCAAAACAGAGCTTAAAGGCAAACATCAAGACGTCATTGATGTATACTCTTGCACAATCGCTGCTGTATGCCTGCATGGGACTTGGATTCTGGTACGGTGGCCGGTTGATTGTCCACGGTGAGTACTCCACGTTTCAGTTCATCGTGGCGTACTCTGCCGTTATTGCCGGAGCTTTCTCTGCTGGTCTTGTCTTCTCGTTTGCTCCAGATATAGGCGGTGCTGCCAGGGCTGCCCACAGTTACAAAGTTCTTTTTGACCGGCGGCCGCTCATCGACCCTCGAAGCTCTGCGGGCTCCAGAATCAACTTTGGGAATTTGAAAGGACAAACTGAATTCAGGAATGTCAACTTTGGGTATGCCTCTCGACCTGCCCATCAGGTCCTGACGAACGTCTCCTTCGCTGTCCAACCGGGTCAGCACGTCGCCCTAGTAGGCGAGACGGGTAGCGGCAAAAGTACAATTATCGCACTGCTCGAGCGCTTTTATGATCCTCTATCAGGTAGTATCTTCATTGATGGAAAGCCGATCAGCTCTCTAAACGTAGCTGAGTACCGTCGCTCACTCGGTATGGTGCTTCAGGACCCAACTCTATATGATGGGACAATCCGGGAGAACATGGTATTCGGTCTTGAGGTAACATCAATACCGGACCAAGCTATCGAAGCCGCTTGCAAGAAAGCAAACATTCTCGATTTTATCCTTTCACTGCCGTAAGTTCTCTCTAATTCAGTCTTGTAATACTATGTCGGACATGGCGTCTAGATTATTGGACTAACCAAGACCCCTTATGGCGATGGCTTCTCAACCCTTGTAGGCAACAGAGGAAGCCAGCTCAGTGGCGGACAAAAGCAGCGACTTACCCTGGCGCGTGCCCTATTAAGAGACCCTCGCATTCTTCTCCTCGATGAAGCAACTTCGGCCGTAGATTCACAGTCGGAGTCGTTGATCCAAGAAGCTCTGGATAAGGCGTCAGAGGGACGCACAACTATTAGTATTGCTCATCGTCTTAGCACAATACAAGCTGCAGACAATATATTAGTGTTGGAGGCAGGCAGGGTTATAGAATCTGGCACCCATAGTACTCTAATGGCCAAGAGGGGCAAGTATTGGGATTTATGGAATGCGGGTCGGTAGAAACCAAGAGTCTTGTGGTGGATATGAGTTCAGGAGGCATTGGTCTGCGGCGTGCTCGACGGGCTGGCAGAAACCCTTGAAGGACTCCTATAGAAAGGTATCTTCCAGTGGTTGGAACCAAACACAGGCCGAGAGCTATTTAATTAATTTAAATATAAATAAAAAATTATTTTTCAATTTTTCTTAAACTTACTATATTTTTTATTAATATTCTTAAATTAATACATAAGTTATTATTTTATTTTTTGTTAGTATAATAGATTATAGTTAATCTGGCCGTGCCTACCCTGTAGTCTTGTTATAGCAACTACAAAAAGTAGGTTATAAAAATATTTGCATCTAGAGATAAAATTATAATTAATTTTAAAAATAATAAGTTCAAAAAGGTAAACTTTTAATATCTCTAATCTAACCTAAGGGAGAAGTTTCTACAGTATGGGACAGTAGCAGTGATATTTCCATATATAAGGACTACGCCGGTGACGGTAAAGACATTTCCAGTCGAGTCTGTAGTTATAGCCAGCGTAGTAGGGATGGCCGCTGGGGTTTCTGTCGCTGACTGCTGGGGGGTTGCTTGAAGCACCAAGTTTATGCTTAAAGTCTATACTGGTAAGGGAGCAGCCGGAAAAGTATTTGCTGGGCAAATGAAAAAGTAGCTATAAAAATAACAGGTTAAACATATAGCTTCTTTAAGGGGGGTTAGGCACTATAAACCTTCCTGATCACTTGCATTACAAGTAGCTAATATACAGGGAGTAATGGCAGTGATAAAGCTAGTGTCTGCACAAATACACTTAGCATCAGTTACAGCGCACCCTGTCGCTGCCATTGCATCAAGAGCGCACGTTTGCTACCAGCTAAATTAGCATATGCTAATAGTAGCGCTGACGGACTTACAGGACTTACAGCGCAGGTGGGTAGGCCCGGCAGGCTTTGTGCTAGAATGGAAGATGAACGTAGGAAGGTGCTGATAATAATATTCAACTTCATTTTAAATGTAAGCTCTACGCGCTTCATATAGTAGAATTAATAAAGTAAAGCACGGGTAGTGAAATCGACTTTGAGTTGTTAGACCAGGATAATATTGCAAAAAGATATACAGGAATTCTATAGCTCCTACCAGCCTATGTGCCAGTTGTAAAGGTGTTAAATCTTCAGAGCAGATCCAGACCCAGATCCAGATATGCATTAAGAACTGGGCTCTAAAGTGCTAAAGCGGGGTAGCACGCTAAAGTCTGGTGGCTCTAGTCATAGACCCTGCTTTACTATTCCACCAAACGCCACGGCGTTATTTTTCCCTGGAGGTGTACAATTCCTGCCCTATAAGATATCCTTCTGGATATATGGTGGAGGTTATGTAGCTTCTTGGTTTTATAAGAGAATGAAGTATTCGCCTTGGCTGAGAGACTCGGAGGTGTTGAGAGCCCTGTGATGTCCTTGTATGTATGACTCAGGAGTGAGAGATCAAGTCGGGGTGTTTGATGATTTGATCTGACTTAGCATTAGCATTGAGGATATGGCAGACTTGAAAGAGGATCTGGCTAATGCTATCGCAGACGCAGCATTGAAGGGGTAAGAGTGACGTCGCTTTCGGCCATTAGCTATCTAGACCTGCTCTGTCTTATTCTAGGCGATTGGATAATGGGCGGCACTAACTATTATCCTTTGCAGGACTAGGTGCTAAAATTGGGTCTACATGATTTTGCATTCCAGATCTGAAGCTTGTAATCAAACTGACACAATACCTATTTCTCCGCTTTCTAGCTCGACTTGTGAAACTGCGAAGAAATAATGCCTGATAGTAAAAGAGGGGATGTATGCAAGGTAATAACAACCCGAGTCAACATGTCCTGCACTACTACAACGGATGGTTACAATTGGTGTATTTAATATCGCATATAAATTCCAAAGGTAAACAAAGGATTGCATCAGATATAGTCCAGGAATAGGCTTTAAGCTCTATTATATCAGAATAAACCTCCTGGAAGCTGGAATCTTACTGTTGAAATACCCTCTACTGAAAGATAATATAGATACCTTTCGGCTATGAATTTGAGATAAATTAGCAGTGTCTGAAAGTCTCCTTGCAATAGGTTTGCCTTTTATAAATCTTGTAATAGGTAGCTTTTGGAAACTGTTTTTTATGATAATGTACCTTGATAGTTGCCTGCCTTTAATATATAAGGCTTAAACTTAGCTACCGCTACGCTTGTATTATTTAAAGCCTGGGCAAACAGCTTGATAGGCATTCCTTAACAGAACCTTTATATCTCAATTATTATATAAATTAAGCCACAGCCACTAGTTAACTAGCATATTAATACTTAAGTCAAATGGCTGTTGGAAAACAAGCGCTATATTACAGTAAATTAGTGCTATAATATAGTAAGTCAATATTATATTATATTAGATAAGCACTGTAATACGGTGCGTAAGCGAGATATTATAGTAGAAAAGCTTTATAATACAGTTTGTAAGTCCTGTATTATAATGGAAAACCCTGTATTATAGTCGCTAAAAGTGTAAGAACTTCCCTTTACAAGCCCTACCTTTTTGGATATCAAATACGCCTGCTTGGATACCGGATATACTGCCTTTAAGTTCAAGAGAGTCTAAGAGATTGGGCCGCTATGTGTTCAAGAATACCGTGCAATTGTTTATCCAAAGCATGGGAATAAATAGAGAGAGCGAGATTTAGCCTAGAATTTAGGACTTTATTATTAGTGTGTGATGATCTATGAAATAAATTTAATTACATGACAGGACCAGTTCAGCACGAAGTCGCAGGCCAGAGAGAGTCGTGTTTACGACGTTGGGCAAAACTAGAGATAAAAATAAAAATAAATGTATGCAGTACAATACATATGCTTGCGCTTCCATATTCATAGTCAGCGGAAAGCCAAATGAGGTGATATAGCGTTATTAATCGCTGTTACAAGGTACGGAGTTATAATAGTCGAGCGTCCCTATTGATTACACATATTTTGTTCCAAACCGGCCGAGTCTGGCTATTAAACTAGTCAGAGCCAAGCCAATTCGGAATGATGCGCACAATTTTGCTAACTACACACGAGTAGGATTGATTATTCATACTATCTAGGTGCTCTGCCTGACAGCTTACTACAGCATAAACAAGTGAGACTTGCTGAAATGATTCAAGGGTTAAGGGCAAGTCAAACATAGGAAGCAATCAAGCCATATGATGTCGGCAAGCGGTCAATGCAGTAAATCCCTCCTCCTAAAGAAAACAAAAGGGGTGGAAGAAGAAAGTCAAAGAAAGACAGCAAGATAAGAGAGAGAGAGCACAATAGAGATAGAATTGTAGGAGCTGGGTATGAATAAGAAGAACTGTGGGTCTAGATGCCAACGACATGCATTGATTGGACTAGCTGGCTAGCTCCTGTGTTTGGTGGACAGCAGGTACGAGATTTACGAATAAACCCGAGATTTTGCAACGGCATGAGCTGAAATACGAAGGAGAGTGGGGAGTTGTGCAATAGGCCCTCATAGAGTCCATACAGGACTGGAGATATTCTACGCATGGCCCTGGCTCCGGGGTTTGTTCTACACCCACGTTTCCATAGAACTATGTAGGAACATATCATAACATTTAAAGCCCCATTTATCACATATATAATTAGTGTCAACCGACATTTGAATTGTTATCTCGTTCACTTTCGTCACGTCATATTTTAAATTACACATACGATTACTAATGTCTCTCTTGAGCGAAGACGTTGCTGCTGAAAACTACCGTGTGGTGCTCCCACCAGCTGGTGGACACGTAGTTATACGACCGGTTATGATTCTGCAGCTGCAAGGTTTTGACGGAAGTGATGCACTGTACGAAACCTTTAACTTCTTCTCTGTCAACACCTGGTCCTCAATGCTCTCGCGAGACATCGGGAATTTTGGAAATCATGGCCAGCGAACTCCTTCCATAATCCTCACACGAGACGTTATCTCCTCCAATGATGAATCCTCGTCCGACATGGCGTCATCCACATTTCAAGGCATTGTTTCAGCTGGTTCTTACTCCAAGTCAATGGACAGTGGTAAGAAATTGCTGGACGCCGTATGGACTGCCAATTTACACTGCAACATCGCAAAACATGGTCAAGACTTATTCTTCATTTATGTTCACGACCAGAGTATAGCACAATTGGAGCTGGATCACAAGGTATGCGATTTGTTAGATTGGCAAAATAGGTCTCATCTGTTAATCCATGGCATAGACTTGTCAGGTTACTATCTGGACGGCGCCAGCCACAAAACAAAGAACTATTCTCGGCCAAATTTCTAAACAGGGCGTAAGTTTGGCGAAAGAGAGTCTGTGGAGGGACACCGTAGATACTCTTTTGGATGGCGATCGATCTAGATGTTGCAATGTTGGTCAATTAGGTATGGCTGTATTAGAAGGAAAAAGTCTGGTCATTTTAACGGGACTTTGGGCCGCAAGTTTGGCAGGTTTGGCTGTAATACCACCCTAACGGCAGCATCATCCGCGCGCATGCCATTTGCTATCTGATCCTCATGAACGCCCTCAATTGCATACGTTGCACAAGAGAGATACTGTTCGCATAACTATTTAAGTTCGTAGTGTGATACATTGTAACAATTTGTTTGACCAATTCCTTAGCTGTGATAAGTCCGATACCCCAATAGAGCATCGCACAGTCTTAATTATTGAATCAGCTAGGTAATTCATGAATCGATTCGGCCCTCTTATGACTTTTTCTTAAAATCATTATTTTGTTTTTATTTGTTAGTGTGGTTAAAATATATACTATTTTAAATTCTTTTTTTGCTTTCAAGTAGTATTCCTTGACATTTAAAGAAGTTTAGTACTTTTGCTAATCTTTGATTAGAATATTGCTCGTGCCCAGTAGAACTGCAAAATTGATACCTATTTATGATGCCGGGGAGTGTGCATGGATAAAAAGTGGTGTAATACAACGGATCCGCCGTATAATAGTACGCTAGTAGTGTCCGAGTTTAAGATAGAATCCGAGCAAAAGTAATTGGTCGGTATCCAGCTGTATCGGATTCTCATGGTAAACAGTTGATACACATAAATAAATAGTTGACGACGAAGTGCGTCAAAGGAAATGCGGGAACATCCCAGCCCAGTTGTTCATTTCTTCATTGTGCTCACCACCAATTGCTTAAATATAAGCTCTAACTCACCAATATCATGTGCATCGTTCTTGTCTAACTTCGCTGGCGCAAAAAACATCTGTGAAAGGCCCAAAGTTGCCCGATCCGAAGCAAAATATATTAACTCCTTGAATGCTCTGCAGCTACGACATATTCGAACGAAAGTGACGATGGCGGATAGCAACAGTGGCTTGAATACAATTGATTTCAAACTCTACCAATACACTCATTCACTACCGGCGGCGATTGTCGCATCCGTGGTTTTCCTCACCTCAACTACAGGCAGTTGCTCAAATTAATTAGGCACAAGTCCACTATTGCATTGCCTTTACAATTGGTGGATTGTGTTCAGTATTGCACTATAAATGAAAAAGAAGCAATCCCCTCAATCTCACTGACTTTTGATCTTCTAGGCCAAACTATCGGATACTGCGGGCGTATTATCTCTCATTTCAACACTAACTCCGTCTTAGTTTATTCTATTCAGGCTATCCTCATTCTTATTGCTCCTGCACTCTTTGCCGCTTCTTTTTATATGATTCTCGGATGTGTCATTCTCGCAACACGCTCATCACACCTCTCTCATCTCAGTGCATCTACTTGCAAAGGGTTTTGTCTTAGAAGATATTATTTCTTTCACTCTCCAGGCTGCTGGTGGAGGGCATTCAGGCTGCTGGTACTCTTGAATTATATCACCTATGGGAAAAGATTATTGTAATCGGCCTGTTTATAAAAATTATCGTTTTCGGGTTCTTCGTTATTACATCAATTGTTTTTGATAAGCATATTGGATAGCAACCAATACATGTGTCATTGTCTGCAAAACTACCCTGGCAGAGGCATTTGATGATTCTTTATAGTATTGTAAGTGGGTTTATTCTTGTACGAAGTATTTTTATCGCATGACCTAGCCCTTGCAATGTCTGATCGTGGCTCGAGATGCTAAATTCCTTTAGGGTCTTGGCCATATGCCTATAGAGAATAATTAGGCCAGTTAGCCTATGTACAATATATGTATCTCCCTTTTATTTGAGCTCATTTGCGGTACATGCAGATGAAATTATTGGACAATCATTTTCAAGCTACGCCAATTTTTTGGGTCCATCTCCCTCGCACGCATTCCACAAGGTTGACGATAGATTGGCCCCGTATAAGGCTCCCTTAGCCTGCCAGTCGCATGTATGTTAATGTGGCTTGGCTAAGTCGGCGACCTATGCGTAGCCACATAGGGGCTCGCAAGAAATCCGAACATTTCGTATTCCTCGGCATCGCTCGCTTTAGGCGTTAAGCTTCATCCTAATTAGCAGATCTGCCCCTGTGCGATAGAATTTAGTAATTTATGCCGCCCGGGGAAGTATATAGGTATATTATGATTTTCATATTCCTCTTCCCCTGTAATAGACCTCTTCGAGCACACTTTCTCGTCATTATAGTCTTTTTTTTAAAGTTTTCAGCTGTCTTTATTTCTCGCGAACGGTAGCATGTGGCTAAATTCCATATGGTTGAGCCTGGCGCTGCTTCCCCTTGGTCAGGCTCGAGCCGTTCTGGAGCCTGTACAGCGACAGGATCAGCGGGCCACCACGAATGCTGGCTTCACTCCCAATTTTATTTCCACTTCAGACGATGTGATTACCTTGGACTCAACACACAATTCTCCTACAGTCCAGATACTTGATTATAGGTACAGCGTAGAGGGCATCCCGGCTTTCGAGGTTGTATCAGTTGATGGAGATACCTCTAACTTCGAGATCACGTACGGGGAAAGTCGTGCTGCTTTAAGCGTCTATATGGTATAATTCACCCATCCTCTTCCATTCGATTCGTTCCCATCTAATGAATTAATTATTCTAATCGGATGGGCCCCTTCCCCTCTCAGCAGCGATGGATACTTATCGGGTCAACCGATATCGTATAACCGGGCCAGGTCACATTTCAAATCGCCTCATCCAAGGTGCTTTTCGATACCAGAAGCTTAATCTTTCTTCCACTGGCGTCCTGAAGCTCAGAAATGTCGGCGTGCGTCCGACAATCGACACCACTGCAATCATGCAACTTCCCGGCTCCTTTCACAGCGCAGATAACAAGATTGATGCTATTTGGAAGGTTGGCGCTCGCACGATTCAGATGACCGAGATTCCCAAGGGTAGCATCCCGGACTTTTGGAAGGTCACTTCAGAGGGAGCTTCCGTGGACAGTCTCGCCCCGCAGGTTCTCGGGAGTGCGGCCGCCGCACAACTCTTGAATTACAATGTCGACTTTAAGGTTAAACCAGTTGTTGACGGTTTCGGCTTCACCGTCCTGTCGGATACCTTGAACTCCGGTATTTACATCTCTTGTGACGTTATCAACAAGCACATTGCCGCCTATGTAGGATCCACAACGATTAACCAAACGTTGCATGAAGCCCAACTACCGTCCAACCTCACGCCGCTGTGGCAGTCACAGATGTCAGAGTTTCTATCGATGGCATTCCTGTGCTGCAGCTCTCGCAAATGTCGCGATTCTTTGGTTCTGCCGGCCTTGGCGCTTCCTTTGGCCAACGTGCTGTCTTTCGAGACTTTTCACTGACAACGCCTACTGGAGACGAGATTTACTCTCATGCCATGACAGACTCCAGCTTCCTCTCGGACTTCTTTATGGGGACTTACCCCAACGCCGCTGTTGTCGATGGCTCTCGGCGTGATCGTATTGCTTACACTGGAGACCTTGATATCGCTAGTGGAGCAGCGCTGGCAAGCACTCACAATGTGGAGTCCATTCTCGGATCGCTTAACCTTCTCGGACCCTATCAGGCGACGCCGGGTTTCTTTATCCCGCCTGCCAAGATCCAGCAAAAACCTCTCGTGAGTGGTATTAATACGAATATTACCGGCTTGATCGGGTATTCGTTCAACTTCTTGACGGCTGTCGCTTCAACATATATGCATACTGGTGACACCGCATTCGCAACAACATAGGCCCCGAAGATTAAGAAGATGCTTGACTGGGCAGATTCGCAAACACTTGAAAATGGACTATTTAACCTGTCTGACGTTTCTTTCGGCGGAGATTGGAATTACTACGACCCGCCACAATCCGGCGTTGTCACCAAGTTTAATGTTTTATACGCCTATGCTCTACAAGAGAGCTTGGTCATCCTTACTGATGGCGGTGTTGACTCGACGGTATATCAAAGCCGTCTAGAGAAGCTGCGCGAGGCCATCGACACGCAGCTGTGGAGTGACCATTTGAAGGCTTACTACATATCTGAGGGCCTCAAGACTGCGTTTGCGCAAGACTCCAATGCGATAGCCATCTTGGCTGGCGTCAACAAGAATTCCAGCCACTCTACAGAGACCATTCTTTCCACACTATCAGCAGACCTTATGACCCCTGTTGGACCGCATTCCTTCTCAAGCGGTGCGATATCTGCTGGTTTCCATCCGTCCATCAGCCCATATGCATCTGCATACCATTTGCGAGCTGTCTTAGCCTCCAATGCTAGTGAAGTGTCTCTTGAATTGCTTCACAATCTCTGGCGCCCTATGGCAGATATAGCAAATGTCAATTACACTGGTACGTTTTGGGAGACTCTGGATCCCGAGGGACGGCCTGGGCTAGGGCTTCCGACGAGTTTGTGTCACGGCTGGGCTGCCGGGCCCACTGCGGAGCTGACCAGATATGTTTTGGGCGTGCGGCCGAGTCAGCCAGGCTGGAAGCGATTTGTAATTGCGCCGGTGACTCTCGGACTTGAGATGGCTAATGGCACCGTACCTACTCCGAACGGGAGCATCAAGGTTACGTGGAGGTTCGGCGACGCTGGCTTGTTAAGCATGGAGGTCGACGCGCCGGCCGACAGCACTGGAATTGTAACAGTGCCTACCCCTCTGCGGGTACCAGCCGAACAGTCTTCCTTCACCATCAATGGACATGCTGTTATGGGCACAACATTCAGGGTAACGGGGGGATCGAACTTCATCTTAACACAGATGCAAAAAGTATAAGCTTGAAACAGTGGATTGTTGGGCAATGGCTGTTAAAGTCTAGCTGTACTTTTACTTATGTAGTAATAGAGCTAAATAAGCTAGGATTCGGTAGCCAGCAATTATACCAATCATAATACCAATCCATGTTCCTTGAAGTCCGGTACTAATACTGAACAGTTGGAGAACATCGGTACCTTGGAACTTTCCCTCAGAGTTCAGATTACTTGGATATGCGCACTGGTACTGGCCGGGAGAAGGCTCGGCGCAGTCGTATTGGCGATGTTGGAACTCATTGACCATCATCCCTTGAAAGACATAGGCCTGATAGTCGATATAATGAAAGACATACTTCCAAAAAGGGTTTAGAATACTCATCGGCACCAGAAACCCATCAACACACATCCAAAGACCGTTAGCAAAGGCCGTAATAGCCAGAGCAACAACAAAGACATTGAAGAGAGAGGAAACAAGAACAACAAGAGACTCTGCAGCCACCAGATCCAGGAAGAGCCATAAGACCCACATAAAGAAAGTCGATGCATTAGAGCGGAAACCAATAAGCCAATATACAACGACCGAAAAGATTGTTGTAATAATAAAGAGAAATGGGAGACCAATGATAAAGTTGGACATCATAAACGCCAAAGGCCCGACCAGGCCGTTGGCTCGCTCCTGCTTGAAGGTACTGACATCTTCCAGAAAAGCTGGCACGTAGGCAACGGCCATAAAGGACATAAAAGCACTACCGAAAAAGATAGCGTTAATATAGGGCTGCACATATTTTTGCTCTGCGTTGAATTGGAGAAAAACGGTGCCCATGAGGATAGCAAGACCAAGATACATAACGATACGGATGCTGTATGCCATAATATCGCGGTATGACTTTATCCATGACCTATGAAGCAGCACAATCGGAACATTCCACGGACTGGACCGTTCGACAGAGTAATGCAATATATCTTTTGAAGCAGCTTCTCGAGATTTCTGCACGACGAGTTCAAGGCGCTTCTGACTCTCAGATGCAGCCCAAGATTGACAGATGTGATCAGTTCGACGGCGAATCTCTCCGTTTTTATCCAGGTCTGTATTAATCAAGTCTAGGAAGAACTCGGCCGGGTTTGTCTCAGCAGGGATTGAGTGCCCGATGCTGGTAAAATATGCAGTCGCGGCAGAGATCGGACCAAAGTAACAGGTACGTCCTCCAGATAGAAGACAGAGTGAATCAAATTGCAAAAATGTTGCCGACGACGGCTGGTGGATCGATGCCACAATTACTAGCTGCAAGACAAAAGCAGAGCTTGATTAGCAACGATTGCGGAGGTTACGTGAACTAGCGTCGTTGAAGGTGACTTACATTGTGCCTGCGGCCAATATCCTTGATATAAGTGCAAACCTCAAGACTAAGAGCGGAGTCCAACCCGCTCGTTGGCTCGTCGAGAAAGAGAATCTTGGGATTTGTCACCAAGCGACTTGCGACTCCTAGCCGTTTCTTTTGACCTCCACTCAGACCCTTCTTCATAGTCGTGCCAACAATTGTGTGTGCCTGGGATTGCAAACCGAAGCTCGCGATCAGATCGTCAACGCGCTGAAATGCTTCTCGTTTAGTCACGGTTCTGCAAATGCAAATGTATGTTAGCGTCGTCTGAGAACAAAATACAAGTACTGGCAGTCGGCTCGCACGAATGTGCAGGCACATGAGGTGTTGACGCACGCTGGAAGTGAGAGGCGAGCCGCGAACATCATTGTTTCCCGAACCGTCAAGCTACCAATCAGAGCATCTTCTTGCTCTACGTAACTAGACAAGTCTCGAATGGTTTGCAAGGATGCCTTGGAACCATTAACCAAGATGTCCCCATAAGTTGTGGCCCCGGCAGCAGCCACCCGATGCGCTAGGGCGTTGAGTAGAGTCGTCTTTCCGGAGCCACTGGGTCCCATAATAGCAAGCACCTCTCCGGCCTTAACTATTCCGCACACCTTATCTAAGATGGACAGCTGACGGCCTGTCTGGCGGTCTTTGACAACGACGCTGAGGTCGTGCCATGCGAACGAAGAGACAATGTCATTGGCTAATACAGCACTTTGAACGCGGTTCATTTCCAGATCTGCGGCCGCATTGCCTTGGCCATCGTTGGGATGCATGATGTCTGGCGTAAAAGATGATTATGATTCAAAAGTAAAAAAACTGCTGAAAAAAATGCGTGGTGTAACGATCAGTTGTCAGAATATGTCTATCAAGCGTTATGGCACAATCGGTATACGGAGAGGATGTGCTAATTATATCATCTCGCGGATAATCAAAGGTTACGGCAACCGCTCTATGGCAATGCTCACACCGGGAGAGCCTATTATAGTTTGTGATACACATCGGACAATCGGTCGCGGACATTTACAACAACTGTCATCCGTACAAATGAAATTTAAAAATTCCAACTATGATGTCAGTGACGCTGTGGGAACTTTGAGGCTCGTTGGCTCGAGTCATTCATTCCTCGGAGGGATATTGTCACGGGTATCGCTGGTGGATTCGAGATGTGGCGCTAGTCGCCGACCATGGGGTGTGTGTTGAATTTTTGCCGTTCCAAGGTCGGCGACCCGGTGTCTAGGTCGGCGTCGGACTTTCGCCAATAAGATTCTTGTCCTAGGCCCTTGACAGGTGGATTGTTCTCGATCAGTGCCGTAGTTCTCACGTTCTCTCATCTAACGACGTTGGAGTAGCTTGGAAATCAAAACATCTACAACCAAGCTGTAAACGAGCATCTTCCTCCTCAGATCAGTGGTCTCCGTCCTCTCCTCGCCAGTATTCGCCACAGAAAAAAAAAAGGGAAGGAAACGAGGGGGATTCTTCGGCTTTCACAAATAAAATTAAAACATAACAAGAAAAAACAATTTGTCAAACTCCGTCAGGCGAGCTTGCGGAATGGAAAGCTTTCTCTCTATCCTAGATGATTATCCAGAAGTGTCGAATCTAAGCCCGACATTCTCTTGGGCCACGTCTCCAGTTGTCGACCAGTCAATTAACCCCGGAACTACACCTACAGATAATATCAAAGACAATCAAGGACCTGTCACCCCAACCACGGAGACGCAGACAGATGCTCCCAGGTTGCTGCCTGTAAAGACCTGTCTGACATGTGTAGGTGCTTCAGCGAGATCCCAATGCTTCTTTCTATGGCAAATCCGCTCTGCTCCAGCACCTGTATACTGAACTATAAAATAAAATATAGCGTCGCAGACATCTGAAATGCAGTGGATCCAATCCGTGTGCTCGATGCGTCACTTCTCAAGTAGAATGCGTCTTCATTCCATCGCAACGAGGATACAACCGTCTTCGACGAGCCACGACTCAAGGCAAGGAACGGCTGCCACTGGCAGGCACATCACGACTGCAGTATCAGCCTCCGTCTCCAGGACCTTCAGTCGATGCAGCTCGCGGCAATGAGCCGAATCGCAATCAAGCCTCTGACAACGAAGTCGAATCACATCCATTGTCGGCCAGTTCCCGGCTGAACAAGCTATCGGCATACGATACGAGTGCGCTTTACAACCAGACTTCGTCGCCGCAGTTGACAATTATGAATGATCCGGACCGACCTTTAACTGCATTCTATTACCATGCATTTGCATCCAACCCGTTCGTCCTTCCACGCTGCCATCTCTCTCAAATTGACGACGCGAAGAGCCTGCATGTCCTGGTTACGGCCATGAGGTGGGTGGGCTCTCTGTACATCAACGCCACGGTCCAAACCGATTTGTACAACGCCGCACATTCCTCTATATATGATGACCAGGTGCCGCGTAATGGTTTTCTTGTTCAGGCCATGATGCTGCTATTGGTAGCATTAGACGGCAGTTGCCAGAGGCGCGAAGCCCTCAGAATACTGAGTGATGTGGAGCTGCTTGCACTAGAAATTGGTTTACACAAACGCAACTTCGCAGACCTTCATGGGCAAGGCTCTCGTATCCTAGAAGAGTCTTGGCGACGAACATGGTGGTACCTCTACATTGTGGATGGCATGATTGCGGGCATACATCGCGAAACTAGCTTTGCACTGTTTGACGTCTCAACTGATGTGTTACTTCCTTGTGAGGAACATCAATACCTTTCCGGGGTGGGTGAAACAAATGGGACTCCATTATTATGCGTTCTACTCAGCAGGTTTCCAAATTTATTGTGGTCAAGCTAACGACTAATGCTAGGAAATTCCAAAGCCGCTGTCTCTCCAGGATCTGCATGATAGAAACTTCAACGAAGACGAACACCAATTCTCGTCATTTGCTCAATTGATCATATGTGGTCAAAGTCTCGGTACTTTTTTGCAATTACCACCTATATGTAACCCTGAGGACCCTAATGTAAAAGAACTGGAATTGCTTCTTACGAGTTGGAGGCTGCATCTACCTCGCTTCAAACGCCACATGTTACAGCAAGACGGTGAGCCGGACGAGGTGATGTTTCAGGCATATATGATAACCTATGCCATACTCATACTCCTATACCAGCCATTTTGTCGATTCAATACCAAACCAGCCCAGGCAATCGACACCTGCGCGCCGGTCCAACGCACCTTAGGCAACGACTACGTCGATTATTACACGAAGGAGACGATTTCATCGGCCAACGCCATCAGTGCCATGATTGCACGAAGAGAACCACTGCTCTCACACACACACTTCTTTACATGTGCGCTCACGCTGTCGTCTATTGTTCACCTCAGCCACTGGGCACTGCTGTCGTCAGATGCTCGTGATTCTGCCTTGCGGGAAAGCATTCGCTTGAACCTGGGTGCTTTAAAACTCCGCGCTAGTGTTTGGCCTGCTGCTGCCGAAGCACAAGCACAGGTCGCTACCGTAGCCAAGGCGATCCATCGAATAAAGAAAACAGAATCCGCAGAATCCAATCTTTTGGATATCTTAATAAACAATGAAAGTATGTAAAATAGTTCTGCAATAAAACGATTTTGTTTTGCAATATAGATTTAAAATTATACCCATCCCTGAAAAGCTAGTTATAATTAATACCTGCTAAAGATTGATAATTAATTGTATCCTATAAAAGCATCCTTACCCAGCTAATAATAACCAGAACCATATGTATTAAAGTATAGCACTATAAACAGGATAACTTGTTTGAAAATTGAAATAGCATTTGGGAGAATTTTATTTTAATAATTAAACATCTAGGGGTATTCTGCAACGATCTGTTATACCGTCAGCCAAACGGGGCAAAAGATTAGGCCAATAACCACTATTGTAGCAGTTACTGTAACGGAACCAGCTGCTTACAGTATAACGGCTACTACAGTGTACCGGGTTGTAACAAACCCACTCTAGTGGTAATTACTCTGGATACAGCCCAAGACACTGTAACTTAGTTTATCAAGCTTTGCCTAATACAGTTAGTAGTGTCCTGGATTCAAATTTCAAACATATATCTAACTAGCCCTCCTCTTAATGCCCCTTATCTTCTTTTCACTAATTTAGCTACACCATGCCTATTACTCGATCGGCTACACGTGCCAGTAAAATAAATACTGAGAAAACTACAACAAAACATACGTCAAAGCAACAGAAGAACCCGCGCTCTATCATCAACAATACCATAAAGGCAAATGGCGAGGATCCATTTCCAGTGGAAGATCCACGCAGATTGGTAGAATGGATATCACTCAAAGATCCACCCAATAGTATCATCCCAAATAGCGACGGCCTTTTTGCCACCCTACAAGAGATACACAAACTCAATGAATGCATTGTTATCGCCCGAGGCCGTCCTCGTGAACTAAGAGGAATTGAATGGTTGATTATCGGTAAGCAACACTTACCTATTGATGTATGTAAGAGGATGTTATACCCATACCCAATAGCTAACCATTTACTAGAGTGGAGAAGCAGCAGGGATAGGGAAAAGTTTCTTCTTTCAGAGCTTTTCCTCAGATTGAATGAAGCTCTTTCACAGCGGTCGTGGAGCCAAGAATTTGCCTGGTCGAGAATTGGGGGGATTATACGCGCAAACCCGATTTTCCCTCCACAAAAGCTTTATGAGGTCTTGACAATCTATTTTCCTGCAGACTTAGATCAAGAAGCTATCCTCTCTATTGAAGGGCTTAGAATATTCCCCTACTGGCAATTTGATGATGATGAAGAAGAAGACCTAGCTAAATATCCCTGTGCGGCACTCAAGTCCCAAATTCCTTTATGGATAAAGGGGACTTGTGAGTACCAGGGACAAACTGCAAGGCGGTTAGCTCTTTTTATTGTATTCACTGACGAGGAAGGAGAACGATTGTTTAAAGAAAAGGTGAAGTATAACCGACGCGGAAGGCCACCTTGGGACGTCATGATGAATTTCTTTGATGAGCTAAAAGATCTTGGGATGATCGGGTACGAATCGCTGCATGTTGAATTCATGGAGGTTGTTCATTATGCACCAGAGAACTACGTACCAGAACCTCCCCGATCTATATCCCCTGAAACAAGGAAGCGTTTTAATGATTTACGAGCCCAGGAAGCCTATGACTCAGATATGTCATTATAAAAGAAAAATAATAGCAGAGCAGGTTATATAAGGTAACATTTATAGTTATTTAAAGTGCTATGGAATAACAGTTGGGCTTTAAATAAGCTTATTTTTAGTTTGTGTACTAGGAGCCGTTACTGAGGCTTATATTTACTCGGGAAAAATATGACTTAAAACTTAATGGAGTTTCCAATTTTAATTTTCTCTAATCTAATAATGAAAGTAACTTATTTTCATTTCCTTTTCTTCGATGCACTGAAGGAACGAAAACTGATGTGTGAAGATGAAACTAGTTTCGACACTGAGAAAGAGGGTTAATCGTGACTAATTTAGCAACGAACTCACAACCGTGCGGTCCGTCGGTTTGATTTGATATTCTCATCAGGGGCATGCTGGTTTGATTGTTTCATCGCTTAGTGACAGGTGATAACCTGGTGCTCTGAGCGCAGATCCCCCGTGACCAGTCACATTGATCAAGATACATAGCAGTAGCAAACCACTGATAGGTTCCAATGGAGGAAGTGAAGATATTTATATCGGATCTGACCTGTGGACAAATGCAACCGAGGAGATCTTTTGCGAGCCACCCTGCACTATGATCCTGCCCCCATTTCCATTAGCGTCCCCCATAACGATTGACTGGCCAGCATACCAGACTACCATTGCATCAAGCTCTAATGAAGACCACTACAATCACCGTTGCTCCCTTCACTATCAACGAGATACCATTCTGGCCTATCACTGTGGCAAAAACTGGTGGAAATGCCTACTTGAGCCCCATGCAGAGTATTGCTCCACCAACCTTTGGTCTGACTTTGCCACAAAGTGAAGCTACTTTCCCCATCATCGTGATCTCCTTTGACAATTCACATGTTGTTACCGTGGTGCCACAGCCGACAGCGACATCAATCAACCCCCCTGGAACAAGTATCCCTATACTCACATACTCCGACGGGGAGGCACCCTCGAATGGAGGGTGTAGTTCTGGCGGCGACACTACTGGTTGTAGAAAGATCGATTGTTCCCTCTTTGGTTTTGGGAATAAATGTGAATTCTTTGGGTGTGATGGAGGCTGTCGCTTAGGATTCTGCAGAGGAAGCTGTGGTCCTCTCGATTGCGGCCCTGGATGCGGCCCTGGTAAGTCAACTGTGTTCAATAATCAAGCGCCTATATCATAGTTCGCCCATCATGCACGACGCTGACATATATCTTATTGCGCTTCCAGGAAACTGTCTTCAGGCAGGAGGTGGCGGCGGCTCCGAGGAAGAAGAGACATCCACTTCTGAATCGTGCAGCGCAACTGCCACGGCTTCTGTCGCGAGTTTTTGTGACTATGCCTGTCCAGAGGGGGCATCGACATTCTGTGCCACTCTTTGCACCTCGATAACAATTATTAACTGTGAGCCTACCGCGTTTGTTAATTTCTCCCGGGGCACTGTGGACGCAGATGCGATTCCACTCACATTACTTGAGGGTTCCGATGAGGCCATGGCATCCACTGCCGCATCTGTGGCATCCTGGTTGAACCCACTATACACTAGCCTAGATCTTGTCATGACAAGTGGTACCACCATGACTGCATCAGCTACAGCGCCGGCTGTGACGACATCTGCTTCAGCAACTACCGCCACCGCTATCTCGACCTCGTCTAAAAGCACCAGCTCGTCCTCATACTGCTCATGTGATGGAAGATACGGCGTGGCACTGTCAACAAAGGCTAACAAGCCAAAAACCACCTTCCTGGTCTGTGATGTCACTCCAGCCCTGACAATTTCCACCGTCATGCCGACGACGACTAGCTCCGAAACCCAGTCTGCTTCCACAGCCACCTCTGCCAGCGAGTCTACATCCACGGGATTTGCGCTGTTTCTGACCACCTTTTCAGCCTCGGAGTGTCCCATTGGACTCGCATGCGAGGGTAACGGGAAGTGGAATGCAGTTATGGTAGATAGTGTTTGGAGCGATGAAGCGGCCGTGCCCATCAAAGGCACATGGAACCAGTATGGCATGGTTGATGGAAGTCAAGCAACATTCTGTGATCAGACTTCGACCTTCGCAATCGATGGCGACGACATTAAAGGCTTAAGCAGCGTCAGCAGGTATGGCTCCTATGCTTGTAAGAAGGAACCTGTTCCTGAAGAGAATACCTGGTATGATCCGGAAAATACGGTATCCTATGACATCGTAGGGGCATGGACGTGTTTCACAGATATCTGTACTTAAAGTATATAAACTCCATATCACGGTCATAGAGCCAAAACAGAAAACAACTATAATGCATACCTCGTAGAAAAATTTTAGTTCTTGAATGCTGGAAAATATCTCTTCAAGCCATAATCCAAGGATCTCATTCCGATAGGTTTCACCAGATAGTCATCAGCACCAGCAGCATTCGCGGCTTCTCTATCTATTTCACTGTCTTGCCCAGTCACAATGAATAGAATACTTGACTTCCATCCATGTTGTTTCTCCAAGGAACGCATCTCGTACGTGGCGTCAATGCCATTACACACCGGCATCTGCAAGTCCATGAGAATCAGCTCAATGGGAGCTCCGTCACCAGCAGCGTGGGATGCTTGTCGCTTTGAGAATATCTCAATAGCTTGTTTGCCGTCAGCCGCACTGAGGCATGACAGTCCTCGCTTCTTGCAATACATCTGCAAAATGCGGAGGTTGATAGCGTTATCATCTACAACGAGTGTGAGGGGTTTAGCTGATCTTGCGGGGGTTGAAGGTAAGGTAGAACGCCTCCAGATTGCTGGCTCATTAGATTGATGTGTCGATGATAGACCCCAATCCAAGCTCGACTCACCGCCATGTTCGAGCGTCTGACTTGTTTCTCCATTGGAAGAGAGCGAGGGTGAGCCATTCAAAGAGCTGTACCCTTCGTCTGAAGTCGAGTAAATTTCTTCTGAAGAGGCGGAATCAGTACCACCTTGATTTAGGTCTTCGGCTAAGGTGTTGTTGGACCTGGCAAGTCTCTTCGCTGGATTGATCATCATGGCAAGATTATCGGCTTCTTCAAGTATGCTAAGAAGCTTCAACGTTGAGAAGGGTCCGCTAGCATATATGACATTTGGTAGTGACTCGAGAGACCCTGAATCAACTGATGTTGGGACCAGCCAGATGACGACTTGTTCAGATGGTATAGATGAAACATGGCTGTGGGTCAGTTTCGAGTCACGACCGGATTCAACGATTGTAAAGCTGTCTTTGTAGCTCTCTGAAGCGGTGAGTCCATTACGGATCAGGAACTTGGCGAAGTTTGAAGACAGATGCAAGTCAGGCAAGTCAGCCCCCACTTGGTGGAATCTCAGCGGTAAGTATGTTAGAGCGGACACTGTTTTGTGTAAAGGCACGGCCGAAGCTGCATAAGTGATATCTCGAAATGTTGCTCTGAAATGGGAGCCGCGATCGACCCGTGATGATATTAGCTCAATAGAGCCGTGAAGTAGGGTCGAAAACTTGGTGGCCAGAGGTAAACCTAGTCCAGCGCCTGTCGAGTGCTCGCCACCTTTCTCGTAGAGCTCAAAGATACGGCTTTGATCATCTGGCTGAATGCCACAGCCCGTATCTTCGACATCGACCACGAATGCATCTGTCCCTGGTTGTTTTGAGGAAGTGACTATTACAGCACCCTCGGATGTGTTTTGAATGGCATTAATGATAAGGGGAAGAACGCTGTCCCGAAGCAAGCTGAGGTCGGTTTTTAAGCACCTACGGTCTGGAGGTAGATCAAAGTGAAAAAAAATTGAAGGCGTCGAGCCTGTGTCCCTTATCGCTGCGTCAGAAATACCCTTCACGAGCTCCAACTCCAGCTCGCTAATGTCGTGCGTGGCATAATGTCGTTCGGCCACGGCAACATCAGCCCATCTGTTCAAGGTAATCATGCTGTTAACGGTTGACATAAGCTCTCGACCTGCTGTAGATATGGTATCAAGGTACAACGATGACGTTTTAATATCAGAGATAAATCCCGCGACCTCGGCTAACGCTGGCTGTATTTTGGCGTTCTCAGATATAGTGATTGCCTTTAAGTCCTCGGCAAGAAGTTCGGCGGCGCCGAGAATGCCATGAATGGGAGTTCGAAGCTGATGAGATATTCCACGAAGAAACTTTTCTTTTGCTCTGATTGCTTCTGATAGAAGACGTTTCTGCCAAATTTGGGTAAGCATAGATGCACAGGTTTGTATGAACCAAGCATCGACATCGTCAAATATTCTTCGAAAATCCTTGGTAGCCACAGCAAGTATTGAATGACCTAGTTTGCTCTCGCACTGGGCAGAAAAAATCCGAATAACTCTATCTTTAGGAGTATCGCTATGGTTTGAGGTTTCAATGAACTCATCAATGTAGGCGGTGTCTTCCCATAACCCATTGTTCAGGTCAGAGGGCAATCCCGAATGCCGGCTGTTGGCGAATTGATCAATTTCAGACGACTGGATGCTGATTGACTCATCCGGATAGGCAGTTCGCAGTATGCTGAGCACTGAGTCTTGTGGATCATGATCGTCGGATACATTTTCAACAGTCGCAATGAGCTCGGCCAGTCGATGGCGCTCACGTTGACGCCGGGCTCGTGTGCACTGCACAATGTCGGCTACAATCCAATCGGCAAGACGAGCGAGTGTTTGTTGTTGCTGTTTCGACAAGGGAGGTTGACTGGTTGCTGAGGCGACACATAGCGATCCTAGCCCAACACATTCCCCAGATTCGTGCTGCATTCGAAGCGGGACGCCCGCGTATGCTATTAATCCTCCTTGTTCAACATATGGCGACTCTCGGAACCTCCAGTCCTCCATCATATTTGGTAGAAGAAATACATTCTAAACGCACGAAATTAGCAGGTACTAAAGGAGTTCTAGATGGAATTGGCCATACACCAGGAGGTTGGGTCACCGTATGGGCGCAAAGCGTTTCGCCACGGGGGAGAATAGCGAGCTGAACACCAACTGTTGCAAGACGGATGTAGACGTTGACATCAAGTAATCCCACGATGGCAAATTCCCAGCCGGAAGATTCTTGTGCTAAACATGCTTTTTCCTGAAGCCCTGAGAGGAGCTCAGGTTCGTTGCCAAGATCCCGCCCGTAGTACCATAGCATAGACAATCTCAACCGTTCATTTTTGGCCAGATGAGCCCGCAGGTATCGAGATGGAGCACGGGGAGGTTTCTTGGGTATCGATGCCGAAGCGTAAGGGTCAATCTTGGTGGGATAGAAGCACGACTCGGTATCCGGAGTCCACGGCGCAATTGGAATTTCGGCATTGTCAACATCGAATATTGGACCCACGTTGGTAGGGCGGGTGGGCAGGCTCTGCTCTTCTAGTGATGGCGACAAAAGGGCAGCGTCTGCCTTGGGGAAGAAATGCATTTGCAACTCGGAAACTATGGCCAACGGCTCATTGTAATGACCCAAGAGTCGCTCTGCTCTGAAGCAGTTTTCGACGAGAAAAGAATGATGTCGCACTCAGGATCGATCGAATAACAGGCTGGGTGGGGCTCCCTTCCAGTAAACAAGGAGCTCAAGGATTTGTGGGGAAGGACGGAGCAGATTCTCCGATCCAGTCATAAGCAAGATTTTCATTTATATACTCCGTACATATACCATTTATAAATATATACTTTATTAGAGTTCTCTGCATCCACATACACTTGCGACTTGTGTAATTTATGGCCAAGATAATCGCTTTGCTATTGAAGCAATATTGTTGCAACCTGGTCCACCATAGCAGCTGGATCCGTTATAAGCAGCTGCTTCCGTTACAGAGTGGCCTGGCTAATAAGTACGCACAGCTGGGAGAGGCCCATATACATGACGGCCGGACACGATCCCACAAGTGGCCGCAGTGAGTCGGAAAAGCAGTTGCTCCTCGAAGTCGGCAAGGGTAAGCATCGGTACGCGGAACTGGGCCGGATGAGTACGCAATGCGCACCGGCCGGCGCAGGGTAACGGCCGCCGGTCGGTCAAGCATGTAGTATGACCAGAGAATGTGCCGGACCAGGTGCACGCAGCAGCCACCATGGGATGGAGAGTTGGGGGCTGGATCACCATGGAATCCGATGCACTGGGCTTAGAAAATGGCAGTTCCCAGCCAGTTCCACATATTCTTAAGTTCGTCAGGGCTCCTCGTGCCAGCAGGTCATCAGTAGCACAGTGGCGAGGACGGTTAGACGATCGGACTTGTAGTCTGAATCACACAGGAGCCAGACCCGAAGGTAGAAGGCTCTTCGTATTGCCCGGCGTTTGTTGTAGCCGTTACTTCGCAGGAGCCTCTTCTCGACATACGGCGCGGCGGCAAACATGATGGCATCTGGCCGGGCCACATCCGAGGCCAACCGTGTGTGATTATGGTGGAGATTGGTAAATATACCGGACTAAAATTCCTAACCACCGCGGATGGTTAGAAGATTGTCCCAGTTCTGCCAGTTGACAGGGGCTTCTTCGTTGGAGCCACATTATGCACTTGCATTCGGTTACGACAATCACATTGAGTCACAAGGGAAGTTGGACCATCAATTTGCATTCGTTGCATAGTTATATTATTCAGGTGCGTAGTTCACCTACTTTCCAAAAGTTACGGTACTTACCTGCATAAGCTTAGGGCCTTTAGTAGAATCCTCGAATGCTAGTTAGTGTAATATATTTCATTGAATAAATTATAGCACAAAGTTAGCTCTTCTAGGTTTCCTAGCTTGTTGCAAAAGCTAACTTTCCTAGCTTTCCTTTCCTGTACAACCGATAACCCCGATTGGCTTGGCGGTCTGTAGCTAATCTGGAGTTGCCTACCCTGTAGGCCCAAAATTTTGCAACTATGAGTTGGGTCGTGACTATTATAGGCATTGACTCCAACCCTCTATCAGACTAATATTAAATATAACTCTTTACTAACCAGGGTAACGATTAATAATTATCGGCAAAATATTATACAGAGCCTGCACGGAATTGCAAAGTTAGGTGGTCGCCTAAATATGCCAACTCTGACACTCGCATACTACGTTTTACAGAGCAGACTCAATAGGCAGTGTATACTGCAGGGAAGGAACCGGGCAGTTTTGTCAACTATGGTAGAGGTACTGCGTCAACAGGGTAGTCAGCTACGTTTATTTCTCCGTCGCAATGCCAATTATGTGGAAGATAATAATGGGAGTATACCAGACAATCAAGGAAAAATTCCTGCAGTGCTGAATATAGTGGACCTTATAATAAACCAATTGTAAGCAGACAGTGCACAGCACTAGCTCCAACGTCCTATACTTCGCCCTTATTAATATATATACATACATCCTCATTAACCATTTACGCCGGATACCAAGTATATGCTAGAGATTTAATTTGGGGGAGTTACTGCCTGGCTTGTATATCCAGTGGAGATATAATATATTAAGAAAGAGGGAAATGCTAAAGTTTATTGAACATCCTGGAGCCTTTTGCAGACCCACTGTAGGCAACTCTAGGCAGCGGTGGGGTGTTTTTCGAACCCTGGCACCTTAAATTAAAGGTTAAATAACTTCCTTCTTCATTGCCAACTGCACCTGATTTTAATGTCATAGAGATAGTTCAAATTCTCTCTCCTCCCAGTTTCTCAAGTTAACGCAGTATTCTGCTATTCTCGATAAGCCACGACCATGACGCAGCACCAGTACACCTCCAGGCCGCTCCTTACGGAAGACGTGCTAGCTACCATCATCTCGATGGTGCCACGAGGCACGCTCCTAAACTTCCGCTTGGTCAACCGATCTCTTAGTGCTCTGGCTACCAAACGCGCCTTTCGGCATATATGCCTTTTTGCCGCGGAGGAGGGCACTCGCTTCGTTGACATTGCACGGTCTGAGGCGCTCCGCTCGTGCGTCCGCGAGATAACCTGCGACACCAAGCTTGCCGAGGATGATTATACATATCATTCCAATGGTGATTTTGCTTTCCCTTGGAGATTCATGGCGGCCCTTCCATTCGTGCGTTATTTCGAGAGGCTGGAAGTCCTGAACTTAAACTTCAACGAGTACTGTGGGCCGGAGAACAACGATGAAGACCTGCTTGATGGCATCCTTATTGAAGAGTCGCCTGATATCCGGTTCCGTATTCTAGATACCATCTTCCACTGCCTCGAGGGTACATGGTCTGCCGAGAATCAGCGTGAGGTGGATGAAGAGCTTGATCTTAGTGACGATCGCGATATTCTGGACATCGAAGATGACCCCGAAGTAGCATTCTACAAGGACGACCATCAGGGCTTCGCGGCTCCTATTCATGATCCACCTTCCTCGGTTTGTTTGACAATCTCCAACTTAGGAGACTTCGACGACCCGCGCCTTACCAAATCGGACACGTTTCGCCGGGTTATAGCTTCCCAGATATCTGAACTAAAAATTCTATTCACAGTCCAGACCGATGAAGCCTCGCCGGAGAGCACGATATATCGGCCAGAGAAGTATGATCTTATGAAGAATCTGCCCCACACCTGGCTGATGCCATCGCTTGCCATGAACTTGACAGTTCTTTCTTTATACTGTCGTGACTATTGGGGCTGGATCCCCCGGATGGACTTCCGTTGCGTCAATCCGGGCTCGGGTCCGGGCTCGGGCTTCCCAAACCTTAGGGTCCTGGCTCTAGGAAACTATGTCTTCACCCACGAGTGGCAGGTCGACTGGATCGCTTCCTTAGGGCTCCAAAATGGACGGGGTGGGCTTGAAGAGCTTTATCTAGATGATTCTCCCATCCTTTACAAGGCTCGAATGGTCCAACCCATGAACTCAGGGGAGTCGGAAGTGACTAACCTCGTGACTGGAGAGGTTATTTCCATTTCGGATGAGCTGTACCCGCTCCCAGAAGTCGTTATGGGAGGGACGTACAACCCCGAAATCATTTATTTCCCTCTTCGATGGGACTATGTACTTGGTCGCTGGAGAGACTTAATGAAGGGTCTTCGAGTCTTTAGAATGGGCCACGGTGCCTGGTGGCAGCACTATTGTTTCGATCGTGCCATTGAGTCCGATGAATGGATTCAGTCGAGCGACAGACGTGATTTCATTTCATACGATTGCCCAGCTTTCCGGTGGTATAATTGCCCGGTTGTTGATCAAGAAAGCGATGAGTACTATGAAGGTTGTGAGCTCTTTAGAGAGGGAGAAGGGCTCCAGCTGGCCAGGGAATACCAGTGCCAGTATATTGAATACGATATCGGTACAGGCCCCACCCAATGGCAAGAATTAAGGGATAGATATCAGTATACCTATTACCCTTATTACCCGAAATTGAATCCAGAGCTGGATCCGACAGGAACCCTGATGAAAGACGAGGATGAGGCTCTTGGAAGTCTTCTGGAGATAACAGATCAGCGGCGGAAAATGAATCTGACTATATAAGGTATTTAAATTATATACTAAATATACTACTAGTAGTAAGCAGTTATAGAATTTATTATAGCGCCAGTGCACTAAAATACAGCATTTTCCATTTGGAATATAGTGCTTATATATTAAAGCATAGTGCTTATATACTATAGCAGAGCACTAGCTTTCTTCAGTGCTAATTTTCTAAGAGTATATGTAAAAGGCAAGTAATATATCTATCTTCACGCATAGTGTAATTATGTATTCTAGCTGTACATAGTGGAAAATACAAATGGTAGATATTTTTTCATGATATTAGATACTTGAACCGCTGTTTTTTTGTTTTAAGTTATCTATTTTCTTAACGGTATATGTAAGAATAAAAGGTCCATAAAATTATGTATAACTTGATTGTCAATACTTTTTTTCCGGACCAACAAGTGGGCACATTATTCCAATTATAAATGTATTACAGATCGAGGTATAATACAAGCGCAATACTATTTGCACAAGCTGCGGCCGCTCAAGATACCACTAGCTCAGTCCCTAATCTATTACTCGCCAGTAGCTATAGTATTTGAGTAGCAAGTTTCCCTGTTAAAATAAAAGAGGTCCACAATATATTCCAGAACAGCTGTTCAAGTTGCATATATAGTTGAAGGGCTAGCTGTGTGAAAGCACGGCAGGATGAGCATTCGAAATAGGTCTGTCTGCCAAATTTATTAAGTCAATTACAACTCCGGTATTTTTTCCTAATTACAATGGGACACATATCCCCCAACCCACCTCAGTCTCTCGATGAGATCCTGAACGTGATCATAGAGCAAGTATGGGAGGTAATTCGTCAACTACCAGAGCTTCGCCCCCTTGTCTTCAATAACGACGAGGGCGCTCGTATAAGTCTTGCTGCGGACAAAAAAGACGTTGCTAGGTTTGAAGAGCACGCAGTGGTTCAATTTCAGCGTCCCATACAAGAAGTTGTCCAAGAAATGAGAGATATTTTCTCATATATTGTGCGCCCTAACCATCCTCCCTTCATGTCAGCGATTCCGTCTCCCTCGTCACCCATCTCTTGGCTTGGCGAGATTTTGACCTCTGCGTTCAATTCCTGGCCTGCAGCATGGTTTGCTGGCTCAGGAGTTGCGACTATCGAGACGAAACTTATTGCTTGGCTGGCTACTCAGATCGGAATGCCTACTTCAACCGGTGGAACATTTGTGTCAGGAGGCTCAATGGCCAATCTGACAGCACTGGCAATTGCAAGGGATTAGAAGCTTGTGGAGAATACGCGCTCTCTTGGCGTTGTGTATTTTTCTGACCAGACTCATTTTTCTGTACCAAAAGTCTTGCGGGTTCTAGGCTTTAGCAATAGCCAAATGAGGCAATTGCCAGCGGATTCGAATTTCCGCCTCGATATGGAACAGCTCCGCAAAACGATTATTGCGGACAAGTCTAAAGGTCTCATTCCTTTCTTGATTGTGGCTAACGTTGGCTCGACAAACACGGGCTCCATCGACCCTATTAATGAAATTGCGGATTTGGCAAAAGAGCATAATATGTGGATGCACGTAGATGGCGCTTATGGCGCATCTGTTGCTCTATCGAAATCGTATAGGTCGTTACTGAATGGAATCGAGCGCTGTGACAGTCTTGCATGGGATGCCCACAAGTGGCTTTTCAAAACATTTGGATGTGGCATTGTACTCGTACATGATAAACGCTATTTGGCGGAGAGCTTTGCGTCGTCCGGAGACTATTTTCGCGACATACTCAGCGACGATGACGAACCAAACATGTTGAATTACGGAATAGAACTCACTAGGCCGGCTCGCCATATGAAGCTTTGGTTCACATTGAGGGTTTTGGGACTAGAAACCTTGGGGGGGTATGATTGACCAAGGATTGGAAGTTGCCAGATTTGCAGAAGCCGAGTTGAGAAAACTACCAGATTGGGAAATCACCTCACCTGCGATACTGGGGGTGGTTACTTTTAGGTATTGCCTCGATGGGTTAGACGAAAAAGTGAACGACGACATCAATGCTGCCATCTCCCTGGAGATAATAAAGAGCAATGTTGCTTATATCCAAACTACTCGAATTTGCAGCAAAGTTAGCTTGCGCATTTGCGTTATCCACCCTGAGATAACAAAGGGTGATATGCAAAACATAATTACCACTTTGAACAATCTCGCGTTAAACGTCGTTCAAACATATAAGTAAATTAAGTTAAATCACTAACGAGGGGATTTATAGAGAAGTCAAATAACTTCTGGTTTATAGTAACATTAACTATGTATATTTGCTTAATTAAAATATAAGCTGAGTGCCATATGTCTGCACTTAGCAGGAGTGGTTTTTCTTCAGTCTGTATATGATCAATTATGTTCCAAAAACCTCTTTAGAGTTCGCCCCAACTTATAACAAATAAATCCATTGCGTTTCCCACTACACCGTCATTTCCCATACTAACTTGGCGAATCTCACCCATTACCTTCTTATTCATACTCGTGTTACTGGAAGTCAAAGTTGTTGATGTGGCTGTTGATGGGAGACAGCTACTGTTGGACTATCAAGTCGTTTGCTGTCATCCTATAGATCTTCCAGACACCATCAAAGATATTTTTTTTGATTGAAAAATGGCAATGATGCAATACAATGTTGTACGAGCATTGTACCAGGTCACAGTATACGGAAGTAACTGCTTTGACAGAGACGGCTCGGCTGATGCAGAACAAGCGCTCTACTTGCTACATCACTGTATCCATCATGCTATCTTTAGTCTTCTTCAATAGAAAATGTGTATATATTGCGTTATAGCGAAAATGTGGTGCATTTTGAAACTGGGTACAATTAAAATACAAGGGCGCTATTATCATAGTTGCTCTGTAGTTGCGTACAGTACTACCGATATTGGCCAGGGTGGTTTCGCTTGCTCCTCTACGGAGTACAGGTTCACACAATTACCAGCACTCGCCTCCACACCTTTGTTGTTGCAAAACGTGTGGCCCATGCTTTGAGGGTACTCTTACCCCTAAACTTACTAGTGCTACTTACCCCGCACGATTCTAGGCAGCAGTTCTAACAATCAACTCTGCTTGCACTGCGAATACTTTATTTATAACTCTTAGATAACTCATGTATTTATTACTATAGAATCGGATCGCATTTGTATGTACATACTATCCTTACGCGGGCTTCTTCCTACAGACTACAATTGTACTGCTTTACTGCATTCTCTTGAATGGCAACGTCTGAGGAATTACCAAAAGCCCAATTCGGACCACCGCTATGGCTTGGTAACGAAAATGAGGGTCTAGCATATTATGTCTTTAACCCAGAGGGAACAGAGTCAATACTACTCCTTCATGGTGCCATGACTGGTGGCACGGAATGGGATCTTGTTTTACCCCACCTCTCGAAGCGGTATCATATTCTTGCGCCAGATATTCCCCTCCACAACCGTTCAAGAAACATAAAACTTGAAAACCCTGGCATAGATACGGGAAACCTCCTACGAGATCTGGTCAAAGGCTCCGCAAAGGGAGGACAGGCACATGTAGTGGGACTAAGTATGGGAGCTCACATCGGCAGGAGACTGGCAGTTCAGTGCCCGGAAGTAGTCAGGACCTGCTTTTTGTCTGGATTCAGTCAGCTGGATTGGATACCATGGAAAGGCTCGCTCGCTTACATTGTCTATGCCGTGGAATACGTTGGCGCAATGGTCCCAAAAAGCTGGATTGACAGAATTGAACATGCAACTGATACTGAGACTCCGCATGATCTAGAGCATTTCAAGAGGGTTTGGAATTTGATGATGGACGATAGAGATGTGAAGGGTAAATCCTGGGAGGCTCGAACACTGGTGGTTGCTGCAACGAAAGGTGGGCTTGTTCCCACAAACGACTCCATTAGAGATGCCAGCGCATTGGCATTACTCGCACAACAGAAAAACCCAGAGAGCGCGGTTGTGCAGAATAAGACCATGCGCCATGGGTGGAGCAGACAAGGCCCAAAACTATTTGCAGAAGCCGTCATGTGCTGGATTGAGAACAAGCCATTACCGGATAGTTTCGAGCCCATCTAAATGATGACAGAGCGAATATAAGTCTCATCATACGAAGACCAAATAAAGTATCGATGCAAATGGCCACCGCCACCTCACATGGTAGCCTCAACTAGTCTACAGCTAAAGAGGACTAGACGCACTCTTGATCAAGCGAACGGTGGCGGCTGAAGCCTAGACAGACAGACTATATCTTAGTTCAAATCAAATTATATGGAAACTCGAATATTCAAGTCCCACTCTTTTGCTTTGCTATAGCTATCCGACAGTAAAAGCTCAATCTCACAAAGGGCATTGTTTAATGCCCGTCAATACCTGAATATAAATAGTCTCTCGGCTGGTAAAGACAGGCGACCTGTAGGGAATTGCTAGTAAAGAAATACTCCCTAGACAATTCTTTACTAATGTTGCGAAGGTCTTTGAGTACTTTAATATGTTTAACCATTTCTACATTGGTTTCAAACCCCTCCCTGCCTATTAATCCACTGGTTATTCAACTGCAATAACACGCTGACTACTAGTAAACTGCTAATATATAAGCTATATAAAACTAAATAGCCTGACCTAAAATAACTACTGTACCAAGTGTACGCCCGTAATATACTGAATTGCACAATTTTCATCCGTGCGCTTCAGAATATCCCCCGGACTGCACACTTCTTATCCATGCACGATGAAGAGTGAGCATGTTAACATCAAAAAGGAATAACCCCCAGGAGACCATTAATATGCCGAGCAATAGTCATCCGCTGTACTAATTTACACCCTTTGCATATTAGAATGCGCTATTAGGGGTTTATAATAGAAGAGATCAAGAGCATCCATATTTAGATAGTAGATTTATTTATATGATGGTAAGCATGTAGTGGGTATAATAAAAAAGAGAGAATAAAGTTCAAGATGCGTTCAGCCGCGCTATAAACGTGTTTAATATTTATAAACCAGCAAGAAAAAGCAAATCCTATTGCCCTTAAAGTGTATACACATTATATTACATGCTGGTTCACTGTAATAGATAAATCCTTTATAAGCACCTGGTTCTGTTATAGTAATTGCTACAATAGTAATTATTAACCTAATCTTTTGCCACATTACCTAGTGCTCGTTGATCTAATCAATAGTCAACTCAGTTGCCGGAAAAATGCAATTGGTGCTGTAAGCTACCCAAGCACGGCTTGTTATCGCTTTGTAGACAGAATCCATGAGACACTGTTACGACCCGACCCTTATGGTCGCAACAATGGGCCTACAAGGTAAGACTCATCGGATTAATGAAGGACCGAAGGTCCAATCAAGACACGCTCGACAGGCTCGACCTACGAGCCACACGAGCTCACAAAACTCACGCTCGATGAGCTCGACGAACGAGCTCAACGAGCCACCAAGATCCGGACGCCCAACTGGATATATAAGTTTACTTCTTACGCTCATTTAGATAACTTAGATAGCCAGTTGTTAACACAGAATCAAGATTGGAATACTCTTCTAACTTACTCACTTACTCACTGGTGACATTGTGTTATTTACCATTGCCCATAGATCTCCTAACCCATCCGCCAACATAAACCATAAGACCAGGTTTGTCTCTTGGAAATCTTCTGAGCCACTAACCCTTCCAGGATATTAGTGACCAGGTCGTCACAGACACCAGTAAGAGATGACGTCGATCTTTCGGAGGATTAATCAGTGAGACTTTCTGTCTCGGCCATATATTTACTAAACCGATGCCAGGGTCTCACACTGCGTAGCACTGCGTACTGCGTGCCAATGTAACAACCCGTACACTAGATAGTTAGTATAAGGTAGATTCCTAAAGGATAAACCTAGTTATAGTTTTAGGCTTATATTATTATATTAATTAAGAGATCAATAGGTAATATAAAGAATAATAATAAATAGAATTAAATAATAAGACTTAATATATGATACTATAATTTTAATTTTATATTACTAACCAGTTACTTAATTTATTTAATAAGTGTAAAAAAGTAAACTTATATATTTAGTTAGCTAGATGTTTTTAATATACTTAATACGTAAGTTTATTAAGTACACTTAACCCACTTGATAATTAAATTTATTAAGTAGTGATTAATTAATCGAACGATTATATGTTTCTCTGTTCTGGCCTACTCGGTAGGCCCCAGGTTGCGACCATAAGTGTTGGGTCGTGACAGCTAATAATACGCTTAGAGCTCTGGTTTAACGAAATGCTGGTCTTAAACCTGCAAGGGGTGTCTTGCGATGACAAAACATGAGACACCTACTAGCCTGCGAACGAAATGTGCAGAAACTGGCAGTAGCAGTAACTCATTCATGTGCCTGCATCTTATATGAGTGAAAGTAGTACTGGTTCTTATGGATTTGGGACTCTGAAAGAGATCATACAACCTGTGTTGTTCCACCGACACTTGCGCCTTACCTATCTTCCATCCCAGTTACCAATTCACTAAAAAATGCCATTCTCACTACAACGAAATTTCCCAAGGGAATCCAGGGAATTTCTGGATCGTGGAAAAGACTTCCATAGCAGCAATGGCTCAGAGAACGAGACTCTATTAGGATCCAGGACCCCCGTTGACTTTGTCCCTATTCCCGAGCAACGGAAACGATTCTCAAAGACCTGCAAGGTCTCGCTCACCGTTATCAACATCATACTTCTTCTGCTCAATACCGCATGCCTTCTTTCGGTGATGATGCGGGGAGCGCAATGGGTCAACCGCACGCTCTCGGCGGTTGGACTAGGACGAGATGATCATGTTACGATACGGATTCTGTCACCATGTATGCGCACGCCCCCATGTCTACTCTGAATTTTTCTTCTGCATCTTTCCATTTTTCTTTTTCTCAAATTTGGGTCATGTTATTAATAGATCTGGAAAGCGCCGGCAGAGGAAGTCGTGGAGTATCAGCTTCGTCGTTTCACCGATGTGATGAGCACCGGAGACTCAGATCGAATGTTCGTTGGCGATGCAGGCGAAAAGACGGACAAATTGTGGGATGACATAATAGATGGTATGTATCAGACTATCCACCTCCTGATTTCCTTGAATTGAGAGATGCCAGATTAACCTCGCGTGAAGAGGACAAATACTTCGCAGTTGACTACGATACCTTTTTGCGAGTCAACGGCAATCCCGACACGGGTCTTCGTCTGCCGGGGGAGAACTCAGACAAGTTCATTGGGACTCTTCAATGGGCTCATCAGTTACACTGCTTGAACATAATTCGGCAGTCTACGTGGTTCGACATTGGTCATTACAGGCACATGCACCATTTCCTTAACAAGACTGATGAAATTATCATAGCTCATACAAGTCAGTTCACGTCTTCTTTCTTCTCCTTTGATTGTACTGATTAGCGTATCTAACACGTCTCCTCGTAGAACACTGTCTAGACAGGATTCGACAGGTACTCCAGTGTAATGGCGACACGTCGCTTCTGACTTACAACTGGGTCAGGGGTTATGAGATGCCAAAGGTGGCGCCAATGACTCTGCAGAGCTGCCAGAACTTGGATCGTTTGAGAGAGTGGCAGGACGTGAACGATATCAGCCATCTCATGACACATCTAGAGAGGCCAAAATGGGTGATGAGTTCTGACCCAGAGGTGAAGACGCCCAATGGCGGCCGCAAGGGGCCAGCGGAGGTGCAACATCCGGCCAGTCACAGTAACATAACCAGATCTAAGCGTGGAGATACTGGAGGTGGGTGAACGACGCCCATTATACACATGCCGAAGGCTGCGGTCGTAATACATGGCTTTTATAGCTTCTGACAACGAGCTTCAATAACCGGCTTTTTTTTCCAAAAAAAAAAAAAAAAAAAAAAAAAAAAAATGTATCATCTCATAAGTCACGTGGGATCAAAACAACATCCTACTCCTTGGTTAAGCTTTTCGTTTAGTATTGTTTTATGGAAGAGCCTACAAGCTCATGCCTATGCCAGTCACTTTAACCCGTACAATGAGTAACATATTGCAGTCAACATATCAATGCAAGACTACCCTAATCATAGAGGCCCTGCAGAATAAGGTGGCAGTGGATACATGTAATAAGACAAACGTTCATTCATTCGAATTTTTCAAAGCAAAAAAAGTGAAGTTGGCTCACGAACCTCGCAATAGCCATAGGTACAGATTTCAGGCACAAGACATTATAATCAAGAAACTCAAATTGAATTTTACTATCTTAGTCCCCCACGCCGTCACGATGAGCTAAAATGGCCAGCTACAACATAATATATTCCAAATTGGTCATCACCGAGCCGTGATGATACTCGCCGGAAACTGCCAGAAGAGCCATCTTCAGTCTGGTTGTTGAAACCAGGCAATTTTCGATAATCGAAGTCCTTCCAAACCACACTCTGGAACCTGCCGTCCCCATAGTGGCGCCAATTAAACAACCCCTTATTGGCAATATCCTTAGGCAGACATGTCTTCAGTCTGTTCGGTTCTCTCCTCATCACGGCGCCAGGGAACGAACCAAACACTGCCACCAACATTCTTGGCGGATACATCCTCGGTCTCATCAACACTGTTCTCGCCGCGGCGCCAGGGAAC